CATCCAGCTCCCCCCCCCCCGAAAATATAGATAAAGCTTATTATCTCAAGTACTCTTATTTTTTTTCAGAATTTCTCTGCAAAGCTGCACAGTGATTACCTTTCCACATATAAGTCCTTAATTTTGAACTGAAAGACTAGAAGCCAGCTAGTCAGAAACACCCACTGCCTGCTTTTGTTTGATCGAATAGTTGGATTTGACTGTCACTCTTATATAACTATGCTACAAAAGTGCACAGTACATTTTAGTTGCAAAGAGTCGCGAACCGAAATCCTTAGATTCACAGTCCGGGCATGCTAGCTGAAGACCACATCCTTATTTAATGAGTAAGCCATGCGAAGAATTAAAGTATTATTTCAAGTAGCACGATTTGATTACCGAGTGAAAAAAAATTAAGCAGACTTCAGAAATTAACATGCATATTTCAAATTCTATTAACATGAATTTTGTTCATATGATAACAAAGTGCTCTTAGGTTGAAAGCGAACTTCTGCAAGTCTAATTTTGTAGCTTTTTAAATTGGGCAGTCTAGATTATCTGGCTGTAAATGATATACAGTCCTATCTAACAAGCTTTTATGGTCCTTATTGGTTACAATGTTATGTACGTCTGCCTGTTTTTTGTTTTTTTTTGTAATAGGACAACATTTCGGGCTCCATACCTTGGTAATAACATTATTTTGTAATTTTACAAAAGACTATTCATATACCCACTAAACGTACATAAAAGTACAGCTTATTGCCTTCAAACACATTTTGACAAAATTACGTATTTACCTAATAGTATATAAAATGTTTGTGTTCTATTTCACATATAAATAAATGCAATACTCTAAACCGATAGAAATGACAGTGACTCGTAAATACTTCCTGAAGAAGAGACGATTTAGTAATCTTCTCAATAATAAGAGCAGCTGTTTGTGATAATAATTACTAATTGTAATATTTATACCTCATTGAAAAATGTTAGAAAAGTGAACATTTTCTAAAAAAACATATTTGGGGGGGGGAGAAGTACTTTAGTCATACACGACTCATTGCATCAAAATGATTCAATGTACAGAGCTCAAAATTTTCATACATTTTACTGATGTAAACTGTAAATTTTTTATACATTAAAAGTGGTACCGTTTATCGAAAAAATAACAGATTTTTTAAGAACTCCACTTTCTCAGTACTGCATTTAAAAATTACATAAATAAAGATATAATCAAACCTTCACGTACAGCCCTAGTGGAAGTCGTGTTCTTGTTGTGAGGAGAGTATTTTTATTTAAAATTGTGTTCTGTTATAAAGAAATGGTTGTTGTACATACCACAGTTATTTTGTAATTGTCTGAATCCTGAATACTCAAAGTTTGAAATGTTTCAGGGATTTTTGTTTGTAATGCCATTTAATAGAAGGTGCAGGAGTTTGGGTTACCTACATAGATACTGATATACACACACAAACACACACACATACGAACGTACATATAATATTATTACATATTCGAAGAGTTGTGTTATAAACTATTCTAAAATAATTTTTTAAAAGGAATTATTAAAGAATCCAATACATTTAGCTACTATACACTGGGTCATTCATATTCATTAATCTAGTCAACTGTCCTGGGCTAGTCTATAATACAACCATTACAAGGTTTATCTAAAAATTATTTTATTTTATGCAACATATTTTTAAGAACGTTTTATTGTTTTTCTGCAAATTACAAACGACAGGGTTTGCGTACAATTACAATTATTTTGAAACGTGTTTACTAAAAGAAATATAATCATCTTTTACAGGGTATTTTATCGTCTTTCTTAACCTCTATAAAACTAATAAGATTTGTGTAACATTTTCAACTTCTCGTAATAATATTTTTTATCCTAAATTTTCATGAATGTTTTTGATAGACAAAAACAACAACAAAAACTCAAGGTCAGTCACCATGTTTCGTTACACTACTTTCAGATGAAAGAAGACTGGAAATACGTTGCCATGGTATTGGACCGTCTTTTCCTCTGGATTTTTACCGTGGCTGTCCTCGTGGGCACTTGCGGTATCATTCTCCATGCGCCAACGCTATATGACAACCAGGAACCGATTGATATAAAACATTCAGAAGTAGCTATGGCAACAAAACATCATAAACTATTTTACTCGTGAATTATTTAATCGGAAAACCTTCAGTTCATTTTGAACCAAAGCTTAAAAATCGGTATATAAAGAAAATTAAAATAAAAAACAGGCCGTTAAAAGCCTGGTTAAAGGATATTAAACGATTCTTGTGAGATGCAAACCTGTGCTTCCAAGCGTAGGTATCATGGTGTTGTGCCCCTGTAAGGTGTCAGTTGGTTTAAAATAACTGGTGTAAACATGCTTCGGTGCGGGATATGGATAAACACTTGGAGTCAAATGGTATTACTGACTGGAGAATGAGAGTTATGATGAAATTCACACAGAAAACACAAACATTCAGTTACATTAAAATATTGTTTTTATTAGCTGCATTATGACATTAACACAATGATTGACTCAACAGGTGTAATTCCTGAAAGGTGCTCAATTGTTGGTTTGAATTTTTTTACCAAATATGGCAGCAAATTCGTCTATAAAATTCCCCCTTTTAGATTCAAGATTAATTAGTGAATACCCTTGGCACGTTTTCCTTCAATCGAAGAGCCGTGACTGGAAACTGGTCCTCAGTTCTTTTAAATCGATCTTCTTGTAGTCCGTGTAAATACGTATAATTGAATAAATCTTTTAGAAAGATTTATAAAGATTTCTTGTATTGCTAATTATTAGGATTGTCTGTATTTAGGGTTCTGCAAACGAAACTTTACTATTAAATACCTTTTTTTTCTCTCTCTCTAAAAACGAGACGAATAAGTTTGTTTGAGACGTAAAATATTATCTGGTGTTCTTTCTATAACCTGTACAAAATATATCAAATTGGTTATTTTTATGATGATAATTTCTATGGACTAGATATAGAAAATTCACACTGACATAACAAAAACAGTACGTTGTAATGGAGATGAGTCACGAGAGTATTTTGTAATTTTTCTTTTATTCAGTTTTCAGAAAGAGTTTGAGGGTTGGTACTAAATGAATTACATAGAATAGCGTTTACATGTTTACTTTTCTGTAACTTTGAGAATCCTCAGTAAACATCTCAAATACGATGTTGACAAAAAATAATATCTGAGATCATTCTGCTATTTAACTGAATTATATTTTATAGTATAAATATAGAAAGATAGTGAGTGATTTGCATATAAGTTATATATAACGTGTATAAAGGCTCTGATGCAATTCATGTTCGTCATGAATTTGTAGTTTTCTGACTTTACAGTCAATTAATGACAAAACAATCTCAATGGTGAAGGTGACTTCGCAATAAACCTTGCCAGTTTTGTAAAACTCTTATTAGATTAAACTACTCTAAGTCTTAGGTTCTTATCTGGTATATTTCCAGTTCCTCCACAAAGTTTCTTGGATGGTTTTAATCAAAAAGCGTTGTAGCGCGTTAAAAGAAGAATAAAACGAAGTTACTTACAAAACACCAGGAAGTGTGTTTGCTTTACACTGATTACCTCAAATGATATTTATTGCTATACGTTATGCGACGTCTTTGGTGTCCTATCTGTGGGAAAGGTGTAAACAGTCTAGGTTTTGTCGCATAATTTTGTTTGATATCCATTGATAAAAAAACCTGTGCTGGTGAATGACACCATAAGAGCCGTTCTTACATAATATTTAAAAATTATCCTGTAGATGACGCTTTTACTGGTCCAAATTGATTTTTAGATGTTTATGTCATTAATATATTAAAACTGGAAAAGTAAAACACAGAAACGGTTCAATTTCATAATCCTATTAGCCCAAGTTGTTTAAGGTTTCTGTCTGAATTGAATATGCGAACTTTTATTACAAAGAAATGAGCGAACATTTTGTTTAGGACATTAATTTATTACCTATATTAACCGAAGGCATTGTTAAAGAGTGAGTGTACTAGTATTTTTTATTGTGTAAGTTGTCCCCCGGGTAGGTAAGTAGTTATAATTCAGGGATAGATTCTCTGCGATGGACAGAGCACAGATTACCCTATTTTTATTTTTAGGTCTCTATTGGATTAACTCAAATAATTAAAGATTATGAAGTTAACGAAGTTTTAAATGTTTATTTTTGTTATGTTTGTTGTTAGAGGAAAGCAGTACTGAATACAACTGGTAAAGTATAAGGTAGGTAATGTGGGCCATAAAATACAGAAACTTAAACATTAGATCGGTAAAGTGGATCATGAAATACAGCAAATTAAACAGGGGGTCGGTAATGTGTATCATGGAATACAAATGGTTTAATACAGGATTGGTAACGCAGGCCAGAAATACAGCTGGTAAATACACGATCGGTATTGTGGATCATGAAATATTACTTGTTAAACACAATATGGTAACGTGGACTATGAAATACAATGGGTTTAATACAGGATCGGTAACGCAGGCCAGAAATACAGCTGGTAAATACACGATCGGCAATACAGACCATAAATAGCTGGTTAAATGCACGGTCAGTAATACAGACCATAAATAAAGCTGTTGTAAAATCAGTCATATTTAAGCATCAGAAATATAATAGTGTCTAAACAAAATGGCTAACCTGTAGTGTGATAATGTAAAAGTTCAAATCCAGAATGTTTCGTCGTTTGGAAAATTACAAGCTGATCAATTACGAGCTGATCAATCCGTTCCCGACATAATGATCTATTAAGCAGCTTCTACACAGATGCTTATGGTTGGCCATTATCTATACTAAGAAATGTTCAACTGAAAATAAATTTATACTGTAATTTTTTTTACATTGATTTTAATACTTAAAATAAAGCATCGCTCATTTAAGTTTTCACAGCGAATACAAATGCTTTGTTGAAACAATCAAGTTTAATTTTCAGCTAGTAACAGAATCAGTTAATTGTCATTTTGTTCCATCGAGTCTTTTTCAATGAAAACTACTTTTTTAAGTCCACACTTTTATTAAACATATCTGGTAAACGTAGTATTCAAATCTTACTCGTCAGTATTTTGGATATGGCTCCGAGAACTTACTGTTATATTTCAAGCACGATTTAGATGAGCATGGAAACGTTGCTGATGAATTAAGAGCTGTTTTTGAGAGATATATTTTAACGATCATGCGGAATGAAAATAATAAATATAATTACGTTTGTAAAAATGTAGCATCAGGTGTGATGCCAAACACCTTGTGCCTTTGTTACTCACCAGTCCAGTGGATACGTTTAGTTATTTGGTAAAAAGAAAAGTGCTCTTTAACGACATAGATATGTATTTCATTTAATAATCAAACTAATAAACTCAAAACATCTGTTATCTAAAAAAACAATATACATTCTAGCTGTATCAAACAATTTTCAATGCGACACAAACTAGTATACATTTTTTAAAGAGTACAAACCATACAGTATTTTAGTAGTCTACTAGCCAAAATCAGCTTGCTATTTAAGTATGTTAAAATGCTCACCAAGATATCAATATTTATACCACCAATTCCTCGGGAACTTAGCGGTAAGCTTCAGGGACTTATAACGCTGAAATTCAAGGCTTAAGCCCTGCGTCGAACCCAACGCAGATAGTCCATTTTGTAGCTTTGCGCCAAAATCAAACAATAAATATCCTTTAAGTATGAAGTTTGTCAATTTCTGATGTTTCGCAGCACAGATACGTGTAGTTTTCAATACTAAGTAAAGAGCTCAACTAAATTAGTTTTCACAAGGATGTAAAGTTTTGATTTTATCAGAAACTCAAGAAGAAATTGTGTAAAAAGATCCTAATTGATATTCCAAATAAATCGCCAGGTTAGAGAGTATACAAGTACTTTAAACCGAAAATATAAATCGCCAGGCTAGAGAGGATACAAGTACTTAAAACCGAAAATATAAATCGCCAAGTTAGAGAGTATACAACTACTTAAAACCGAAAATATAAATCGCCAGGTTAGAGAGTATACAAGTAATTAAAACAGAAAATATAAATCGCCAGGTTAGAGAGTATACAAGTACTTAAAACAGAAAATATAAATCGCCAGGCTAGAGAGTATTCAAGTACTTAAAACAGAAAATATAAATCGCCAGGTTAGAGAGGATACAAGTACTTAAAACAGAAAATATAAAGCGCCAGGTTAGAGAGTATACAAGTACTTAAAACAGAAAATATTATTTTTATTCTTTATATATACACTCTCAAAAGCAGTGCACCGTGAAATGTCTGAATGCATCATAAAAATTATGTCATTAACACCAAGAATCTCAAAAAGCTTTCCTCATAGCACGTGTAACGTGATTAAAGAATGCAAGAACCAGTTCCGCTGTTCTATTTCGTCCTTTTTACTTATCACCTTTTTTTCGTTTCTTCGGATGAAGTTTTATTGTTATTCATACGTTTCTCTTTTGTAGTTAAAGATGAAAGAAACTGTTGGCATGTGAAAAAAAAAAGAATTACAAGGTCTTTAGAATCTTTTGCGGACAAAACATGTAATAACTCATACGTTGCCTATACATTTAATCAGAACAGGTTCATTTCTTTCATTCAATTCGTTGATTTTTACCTAACTCAACATGGGCTAACTTCCAGACAACTCATTATGAGTAATAAATCATATTGATGAAATATAGCTTTTATTCTGTAAGAACGTATGATAATCCAAAAATAACTAGACTGTGTGTATTGCGTAAGCATTTCATTCTTAACTGGCCAAACCATACTATTACTAGAGAATCGATGTTTTACACATTTCATTCTTAACTGGACAAACCATACGATTACTAGAGAATCGATGTTTTACACATTTCACTCTTAACTGGTCTAATATGGGACGTCCATTAGAAACTTCAAATTAAGGAGAAAATAAATATAACGTTTTACTGAAGTGTCTGAAGAAGCGTTATTATCAGCCTGAAAGCTCTGGCTTGAAACCAATTACAGAGACCGAATGGCAGCACTGCCGACTAAACGTTTCCTTCAAAACCTTCAACGTTCCGACTGTGTAACTAAAGTCTTACATAAAACACTGTATACATCGCCCCCTTCCGAGGCTTTTGGGTTTATATCTTTATATCGACAGCATTTACCGTGTTATATATAACTGTGAACCACTATAGAGGCAAGATGGATAGATATCTTGCTAACCTCTTGAATCTCTGTAAGGTACAACCTTTCATTCTCTTGAACGAGCACTTTAAATGGCTAATAGGGTGGTGCCTTCTCCAAAAATCCACTAGGGGGCGCTGTACACTGAATGGTAATCTCAGTGTAACCTCTTCTCTGTGACCCGAAAGAAAATTTAAAAACTACTGGATATTGCATGTAAGATCTCCAAAACATTGTACCCATTTCTTTTTAGTTTTGTCTTAGACGTGATAAGTTGAGATTTAAAAAAAGTTATCGCGTTTTCCTTTTTAATCTCTCCTCGTTCTTCAATATCACAAACCCAGGTACTGAAAGTGTTTTTTATATTAGTGGCTGAGTCCCCTGTCTATATTGAACTTTCAGAGTGATAAGACGCTCCTAAATGTAAGAAATAATAAAAAAACAAGAACTTGTGGTTTATTTGACAGTAAAATATTAGTGTCGAATACTTCCAAAACAGATTGTTTTCTGTAATGTCATTTTATGTGTTATTTGTAATAGCTTAACACAGAACTTAATAAAGATATAACATAATATTACACCAAGACCCCTTAGTATGATATGCTACTGATATTTACGTCGGAAAGAAGTAAAAAATATATTAATTCATTAAAAATAGTCAATCACATCTGTATGTACTACTTCACAAAACGCGAATTTATACTGCTCTTTATTTTCTGTACTGCAGTTCTTTATACACTCTAAGAAGGTATAAAATTATCTACATTTAGTTATTTAGACCATCTATATAGATTACGTACTACTTCACAAAACGCGAATTTATATTGCTTTTTATT